GATCTATTGTGCAGATAAGAGCTTATCCATTTCACTAACTAGAAAGGGAAGCCAGAAACTTGGAGTTTAAAGATAAGTAAATTATGGTTAACCATATCAAATGCTTTGCTTAAATCTGTGTATATGACATCAGCGCGAGAGCCACTAGAAAAAGCCCTGAAAACATGAGAAGTAAACTCTAACAGATTGGTGATCGTAGATCTTCCCTTTCGAAAACCATGTTGAAGAGGAGAAATATACGATTTCATGAAAAAGGCTACATGCTGAGCCACAACTCGTTCGAACAGTTTAGGCAAGACACTCAACTTGGCAATGCCTCTGTAGTTCTCTACAAGTTGCCTACTATCACTTTTGTGAATAGGAATAAAGAAACAAGTCTTGCAACACAAAGAGAGAACACCTAAATTCAAGGACTTGTTAAAAATCTTTGAGATAACACCGCATAGCTTGACAGCACAAGATTTAATTACACATGATGGAATTCTATCAGATCCAAGCGCACAATTATATTTTAGAGAGCTCAACTCTTCGCAAAACGTCATTTTCAAATATAACAAAGTTAGGAATTGAAATCAAATTAGAAATCGGCTGTCGGAAGTATTCCGCAAAGAGATTTGGGGTTTCAAAATCATCCGAGGACTTGGAGCCGTTGAAAGACACATGCGAGAGATTTATGGAGATTTTTCTTTTGGAATTAAAGAACTTAAAAAAGTATTTAGGATTAGCAAACAAGGAGGATTTAACAAACTGAAGGTACCTGCAATAGTATTGGCGGTTGAGGGAATTAAATTTATGCCTTGCCACTGAGTAAGCGAAACGGTCGAAAGAAGCACCACTTTTCGAAAATTTTTTGAAAAGCTTGTTTTTCCTATTCTTGTAATATTTAATTGTTTTATTAAACCACGGGGGGCACTTACTTCGAGGACAGGACTGCTTGATCGGAACGGATGCAGAAATACCTTGATTTAATATATTGTAGAACGACGATAGTAAACTATGAATACTTCCTACTGAGAAATCAAGCACAATATGAGAAAGATGTGATTTTAGCATGTAAACATTGATTTTTTGGAAATCATAAAATTTATATGAAAAATTTGAATTTGGAACATTATAGAAGTTCAACGAACCAACATGCTTGTAATGGAAGGAAATACCCAATGCTGTACGATATGGATCCTCAGGTAAACTAAACGGAAGACAACGATTAATGCAAATCTCAGGAAAATTGGCAAAGCAAAGATCAAGCAATCTACCATTGCAATTAGGTGTACCATTGTATTGAACTAAATTATGATCATATAACTCATTAAAGAACACAACGACTCTACCAGATGTTGAGGTAGGAATCAAACAGCCAGAACTATCACTGTAACACCAAGTGACTTGAGGCAAATTGAAGTCACCCAAAGCACTGACTATATCGATAGGTTTAGATTGCTCGGCCACTTCACAAATGAGGGCGGCCTGTGTCTTATATACAGAGATATCCGAATTTGGGGGAATATAGGAGCAGGTCACATACAAGTATTTATTAGGAAATTTCACTCGAATGGCAATAAATTCAACGTCGGGAGTAGTTGGAAATTTAAATAAATAGGAGGGCACTGATGCAAAAATAGCAATTAAAACACCACCACCATTGCGATACAATCGATCGTTTCTGAAAACTTGAAGCGAATTATGAAAAATTTCCGACGAATGTAGATCCGGCGTTAAACAAATTCCAGTCAAGACCAAACAGAAAAATTCCGTGCTCACTGAATTTAGGAAGGTAGAACGAATTTTTGAATTGCAAGGCATTATGGTGGATTGAATCGACAATATACTTCGTGTTTCTCGCCCTACTATGCTTTTAAAATTCAGGAACGTTTTTAATTAAGTTAAGAATTAATGGGTTATACAAAATAAATTAGAAAAAAGACTTCGACCCACTTTTATGCAGTTGCACATTAAAAGATGAACTAAATCATAGAACTAATTAATTAATTAAAGGAAAGACAAGGAATATATCATATAAAGAATTTTTTTTTGTTCGCAGATTTTTAAAAATTCAATTAAAACATGTACGAAAGCTACGTTCAAATTAGGTCGAAATTTTAATAATTGATTTGATAATTGCTACGCAAATATAAGTTTGTTTAAGAGTCTATAAAATTCAGTTTCAAGTTTCAGACATAAGCCAAGAACTTATGAAGCTGCCTTTGGTCCATAAGTGCTCCAAAAATGTAGTTCCTATCATACGAGTGGGCTCTGCTGAATTCACTTGAAATTTTCAAATAAAGAAGCAAATGTTTTTTTTCTTCTTTTGTGGATGTGAACATATTAATTGAATCGATACTATTGTCGTTCTTAATTGCGTTAAAAATGTTAAATGTGTCCCCCTATGTTGATGTGACTGCCAGCTGATCGTTACCAATTTATCGAACCCAATCTCTTTCGCCTTTTCATTTCATTGAGAAGGATCATAATCAGTCCAATAATAGATGATACACAGGTAACAAAAGTCTCAACAATTATGTAACTAGAAATACTATAAGGAAAATCAAAGAACAAAGAGGTTCAGGGCAAAAGTAATGATACCGTAAGTTTTGAACATAACGAAATATAAGACCAGGAGTCAAGACAATCGTAAATTGACTATATCAATGAAGAATTTCAAGAGAATTCATGAAATATATAAATATTTCTACCGAAGTGAAGATAGCCCACCGGGGCACTCCACATATTTTAAGGTTTGTGTTTTTGCTATAAACGTCCTTGCTAAGTGATACGTTTATCGCGAACCAAACAAAGGAACAAATAAAATAAATATTAAAATTTAAAAATATTAGGAAGCAAGCACATATAAAAGGAACAAAGCCTATAATTAATTAAGATCACAAAACAAAAAAAAAACTAAGTTATTACTACTAATTGTCATATGCACCGTTACAATACAAACACTGACAGAATGCCATACACAAATCGAGCTTTCACAATTTTTAGAGACCCCTCCCCATACATGTGAAGCACTAAACTAATTATAAAAAATTTTATTGAAGTGTAAATAGCTTACCATGTCAACGGAAAATGTTATCTTTACATATGTTGTGTGTTAGAAAGTAAATATATTAGTTTGGGGAAAAAGAAATCCATTATTTTTATATGAACTT